TTTGAGGACCAGAGGATGAAAATCCATCAACATCAGCTGATGCGAGAGAGGGAGTGGTATTGTTTGTGGCGCAAAGTAAAAAACGCAGGAGTCAGTTTTATATCTTTTTCCTTTTGCTTCTTTCCTAAGTTTTGAGTATTGAAATTTGTGTTTAAAAATCTTTTGATTGCAGACGAAATTAGACCAGCTATCTTGGAACAATGTCTTGAACGTATTGGCGAATATGCTCGTCACAACGATGCCAGTGTGCACATGGCAAGAATCGGTTATGGTGAGAATCTCTATCACTTCAATTCATACCATTAAAATGACGAAAAATGTTTTCCCTTAATTGTACCAACGTTCGTCTCCCAATCTAAATAATTTCATTTCCGTATATGTATTGTACTGTATAAATATTTTAATCTACAGTATGGCAGCAATTATCTTAGATTTTTTCAACGGTCGCATCATTGCTTTGCTGCAGTACATTCTCAAATTCGATTTTCCTGTTTCTTGAGTACGAATTTCGGGAGTTGAGTGGTTGGCTAACATGTCATCCTTCCGCAACTTTGAACCTGGGGACCTGTTGTAGTGACCATTTGAATGGATTGTGTTGTAGCTCTATTCTGAATTCCTACTTCTAAATTGCTTGGTATTCAGGTACATCTCTTAATTGGTATACGGTAGAACGCCTCATCAAAAAGCACATCAGTGACCATGGAGTACCGACTTATATCTACTACTTCGCCAAACCTCATCGACTATTACCTCTACCGTCACCTCAACAAACTCCACTTCCAGGTGGCTTTCTTTACTGTTAAGATCTGATTCTAGAACAACCTTCTTCTCTTAGCAAAGCGAGCAAATTCATCTCCGAATGGATTCAGCAAGAGACCAAGAAAAGCGAAGGATCCTGGAGATCTTTCTGTTCAAGATGAAGATGTGACAGACGAAGAAGAGGAAGAATCTGAAAGCAGTAGTGGTTCAAGTAGCGAAAGCGAGCATGATTGGAGTGAAGAAGATGAGGAAGACGAAGAAGGTGCGTTGGTTAAAACGTCTTCAAATTTTGGAGATTACACACGTAAGCTTTTAGACTCAAGTGAAGATGATATCTCATCATCTGATGAAGAGATTGAAGACGAAGAACTTGAAGAGTTGGAGGGCGAAGGCATGACACGTCGTCAACTGAGAGAAGGTGGAAGCAGTAAGTCGAGGAAGAGAAGCAGGTAAGATTGGTACAGCGCAATTCTCTCCGTACTTTTGCCT